GCATGTAACCATGGTTCCCTGAGAATAGGGAACGAGACGCTGCGTCCTCTAGAGGGCGCTAGGGGAACGCCGTCAGCGTGTCCCCTTAGCGCCCTCTAGAAGACGCAGCGTGGAGTTCCCTTTCGAAAGGGAACCCTGCTTATTACAGGGCACTGATTTATTGCATGAACAGAACAAGAACATAACATACAGTAAGTGTTTAAACTGCATGTGCACAGTTCAGCTAAATGATAAAGTTTTAAATTATTAAATGCTAAAACTGAATAAATTTAAATGAACAAACTTGGCGTTGCATTTGCAACCATGTGAAAACAGGGGGTGCTGCAGCCCCCTCAGCACCCCTACTTCCCGCGTCCCTGCTTGAAACAATGTTTCTTCCAAACAATCATAACCTTAACCCTTGCTCTAACCTCTAACCTTAACCTATTTACAAAGCTGTCATCATGGGAGACTTCTGGGAATGTTGCCCAGGCCCTGTTATGAAGGGGTCACTAAGGACCTATAGGGGAGCCCACAGATTCATCACTGGGTGTCCACCAACAAAAAACAAACGCCACGGGATTTGTGAATTTAATCAAATTCCTTTATATCCCTAAAATATAAGGTAAATTATAAATAGAAAAGAATGTTGTTCAGTGTCAATAAGAAATATTATTAGCATTGTTTGATCAAATATTTCTAGATTTTTATACTTCTACATGAGAACATGAAAATACAAACATGCTTATTAACTCACCAGGCCATTGCAAGTGCTCAGAGCTGCTTGACCCCACTTCAATGTACTGCTCCAGACATCTCCCAGGAAGTAGCAGAGAGAGTTGCCATGGCTATTTAATGTAGACCCTTGCAGACCACCATATCTCAACTCTGTGAGGAATCCAGGCGCTAGTAGATGAGGGTTTAGGGTGAGGTTAAAGTGCAGGTCTTGACCACCATACTGCAGATGGTAAAAAACCTTGGCCAGGCTCTCTTTGGTTTTTGATGTCTCTCTCCTTTGAATTCGACTCACACGGTGGGACACATGATTGGACAAAAAATGTCCCGATGAATCTACTCTGATAGGATGAACAACTTCGTAGTTAGGAAATCCATTAGGAGAACTATCTGCAAAAACACCAGGGAAATAACTCTTAGGATAAAAAGCCGCCACACACATTAAGTGGATTAGTTAAATAGTATGGTGCTATAACACAAAACAGATGAAAAAAAAGCAGATGTTGCATCTGCAGTTCTTACTTAACATCGAATGTCAAGTTCACACTTTAGGCCTAGTAACTACTACTTAGCTTGTAACTACTTTAGCTGTCAATTTGGTTACCTCAAATAGATTAGTAAACTCTCTGTAAAGTAATTAGTAGTTGAATGATATGACCTTTATTGATCCAACAAGCAGCCTTCAACTTATTCTGCCTTACAAAATTGTCAGTGGTAAAATAAATAAATACTAATACAACAACCTAGGGGGAAAATATTACATTTATATTCAACGTTTTTAGTTACATTTTTTTAAGCCTTGCATGCACAAATGGCATACACAGTTTTAGCTGTCAATTTGGTTACCTCAAATAGATTAGTAAACTCTCTGTAAAGTAATTAGTAGTTGAATGATATGACCTTTATTGATCCAACAAGCAGCCTTCAACTTATTCTGCCTTACAAAATTGTCAGTGGTAAAATAAATAAATACTAATACAACAACCTAGGGGAAAAATATTACATTTATATTCAACGTTTTTAGTTACATTTTTTTAAGCCTTGCATGCACAAATGGCATACACAGGAAAGTGCATTGTTCAAATTGGTATTATGCTCAAGAGCTTCAAACATCTCAGATATTCACATAATGTTCTCTCAAATGTAAATTAATTAAAGGATTAATGTCTGCCAGACAAGACATGTGCTCATTATTCCTGCTGTTTGCAGGCTTCTGTAAATATTTAGTTATACATAGCGTTATGCTTCAACTAAGTTTAATGGTGCAAAAGCTGGAATATTTAGCAGTGCATAAACTTAGTGCCTATTTACAACTAGGCTTACAGCTTGTGTAACAGCCTTACTAGAATAGCATTGAGATGGATGGGTTCTTTTGGCTTAAACATCAACTACCCAGCTCATGCTAGCAACTTAGCATACTAGCTAACAACCACTCTGAACATCTTAGAAATCAGAAAGCAACACTCTGGTAACCACTCTGCCCTGAAACTGCACAGTCGGGGGGGGGGAAGTTTTACATTGATAATCACTTTTTCCCCCCAGAACATGTCAAAGTCTGTGTCTTATGTATATTTTACAAAACACTAAATGATTAAGTTTTATATGATTTACTATTTATTATCATCTAAAGATATGACCAAACAACACAGACAATTTATCATAGTTTAGACTTTACAATTCCCCAAAGATTTTACTAAATGCACTGATTTTTAAGAATTGTGTGACTGTGACTGCAATTTTGCAACCAGAACATTGTAACCTTTCTGCTCTTTTTTTTGCACTTGCATAAGTTTTAATAAGTGAATCATTTAAATTCCTGTGACTTTCAAAGCAATTGAACTGTACATTGAATAATTCATGAAACAAATCCATTAATTTTCCTAATAACAGCAAGCTGAAGTCTGTCATACTATTAAAAAAACAGACCAGAATAATACACTTACAGAAGGATTTATAGTAATTATGTGGTAGAGTAAAGACTAAAATAAATTCTCAAGTCTGCATTCTCCATATTCCAATATTTCCCTAGAGACTCTGTAGTACAAACATTTGAACAGACTTTGTTACATGACTTTAGTCTGTTCATTGGCAGCCCTGTTGCTTTGACCTACATGATTGTGGAAGCAGAGGGGCTTCCACAAGAGAGCAGCAATAGGGGTAGTGTCCGCCAAGAAACGGGATATGGAGTGGGGGATGTATACGCCATTAGGGCAAACATAAGTCAAAAGCACACAAAAGCCAAATGAAAGTGGTGTGATGCTGACATTTAGAAACAATTCACATTACAGTATCCTTTTACCTTACACTTTAATATAGTTATACACAATAGCACTAAAAATTACAATTAAAACATTTTATTACAGACAGTTCTGAAGTTTTATTGTTGTTTATTATTATCCAGTAGTTTCACATAGCAGCAATTGATATTGCGATGTGAACTGTGACCTAAAATTCTAATTTACATTCAAATAACTTAATCAAGAAAGATGAATTCATATTTCATAGTTTATAGAGTACCAGTAGAAAAATTAAACAATATGTACCATGTGCCATCACAAATCATGGCCTAAATAAACAGTTAAAAAAAAAAAAAATTGGGAACACTGGGCCAAATATTTCACTTCCACTTTTTGCAGGTTGACAGTGTAATATAATCCCCAAAGTATGGGCACTTAAAAATTCTACAAGTGCATGAATGTCAACGCATTAGATGACAAAATATGACAAGTGTCATCTGTAGACAAATTATAGCAGGGCTTTTTCCAGAACTACTTCACTTTTCTGAGCCATTTTTGCAATTACCAGTTTTGCAGTGGTTTTAAGTGGATGTATGAAGTCCTCAAGGTAATAACCACAAGTTTATTTCATCACATTATATGAGCATGTTTCACTCCACTTAACGTTTTAATTCACAATAGGTTTTGTCTTAATGAACAGAATATATGCCGTTTTAAAATCAGAAGGCAAGCAAAATTATCTTTATTAAATATTTTGCTTGCAATCTCTTTAAAATAAAAGTAACATTTTAAAAACAAACAAGTGCCCAAAAATACTTTTTGGGCCACTGTATACAAACACCATTGTGCGCACACGCGCACATCATCTGACAAACAAACAAAAAAATGCTAAAAATCACAGCGTGGGACTATAATGAGACACAAGCTCAACCCACTCACCTGTGTCTTGATTATATCCGCTAGCTGTTGTGCTCTCGAACATGGACAGAAGCCCAGCTGTTATCACAAAGCAGAGAGAGAAACTTGCTGGTCCCAAAACTTTAATGCTGCAGTCCAGCTGTACCATCATGTCAAACTGCACAGAGGAGAAGACAGATCACTCCTGGTAAATCTACAGTCCATTTAAATGGTGATAGTTTGAATAGTAACTTCTGCCTCAGCCTTATGCATCGGTAGTTTGGACCCATCACACAAAAGAACGCTTCTGCATTTATTAAGCCAGAGATCTGCAATGGTCATCAGTCCGAGACAAATGATGTAGCATGATAAAGTCTGTGAATCCGGTGCATGGGCGATTTTGGGCTCCGTTAATTCAACTGGGACGACTGAAGTTACTGATGCCGCACACAGAAGAGCAGCGAACTGTGTTTCAGTAAAACTTTGTAAAAGTTCCGCCCTCTCAGTCTTCTAGTAGGAGGACCCTGTCTTTGTGTTCAGTGTGAGACTGAACCCACTCAAGTCTTTTGTTTAGTGCTTTCCGTGTTTATACTCAAATAACTCCCATCTCATAATTGAACCGTTTGTAAATGAACACAAACACAGGACGCGTTCCTGAGTTTAATCTGTGCAATTTTAAATTTTGGTTAATGAACACAACAGTCGGTCGTCTTTGGCTGTTGCGTCGCGTCTCGCGTCAAGAGCGTTTATTCCTTTGTCATTACAGCTATAAACTCGATTTACATTCTGTTCAGTTCTTTTTAGTTCCGGGTAGCTATTTTTGAATGCAAGAAGGCATGTTTTTGTATCCATGTTGATGCCATTAATAATAATGGCAATAATCATCATTTTTCTATAATGCAATTCATTATTTGATATTTGTCATAAGCCTATAGCCTATATCCTTTGACTATCATCGTTATCATCATTATCATTTGTTTATTTCCAATTGGATATGGAAAATAAATATGTTCCACAGAAGAAAGTCATACACATTTGAAACAACATCAAGGTAAATGATGACAGAATTTTCATTTTTGGGTGAATTATCCCTTTAACACCTACTAAGTAGCCTAATTGTCCACCTGTCCCACCATCTTCATTTTTCCATAAATTGAAAGACTGAAAACTGAAAATCTGACAATGCTAGCTAATTTTTAAGGGAGTAACAAACTGAGCTGCTGATATATCTGAGTGTCTATCAAGTGCCCCATCTGGTGGACACAACAGTAAGGAAACATATTTCATATCAATTTAAGTCATTCCCATCTAGCATTGTAAATTGCAATAGCTTAAGATGATATATGATAAGATGATACACGATAAGGCTTTATTGACTCTAAGAGTAGTATGAGCTATCAAGAGGAACTAAAAAAAGCAAACATTAACATAACATAAAATCCATGAACATAATATTAAATTATAGTTGCATTAAATGTTAAACCATTTGATATTGCATTTAAATAACTATGACTAATAAATGTAACAAGGCTACTGTAGACACTGTAGATATATGGGCTACATACAAATCTTGAAATAGCCTATATTGCTGTTACATTTCTAATCCGTTTGGTTTCCGTTTATTTTTCGATTTTTGTTTATTAAATGGTTAAGTAAGAGGTCTGTTTTGGAATCTTGTGTTATTTGGTCATCTTCCCTCAAATTTGTATGACATGACATGACGTCAATAGTACGACTGTACGTCAGTCAGCGGTTTTATCCAGTGCGCGCGCTTCTGCATAAAACGCTGGCTGTTAGGTGCACTGCGTGTTCAAAACACGTCGCTTACACCTGTGGGAACCCATTGCCATCTAAAACCGTTTATGTTCTGTGTGAAACAATGTCAGACTACCTGATGTGCGATCAGTAGACAGCCTTGTCCACCAGGCACCTGCTGGAGAGTTTCTTTCAGGAGCAATGGGTGACATTCTCAACCAAAGCGGATGGGGAACTTTGAACAGAAGTTTAACGGACCTGCACAAGTTCAGCATTCTGGAAGACATCGATGTGACTGCTGACGGCAGCCTCGTCCTGCGGATTATCATCTCGGTGGTTTATTCCGCGGTGTGCGCCGTGGGTTTGGTCGGAAACCTTTTGGTGTTTTTCCTTATGAAGATAAGACAAGGTCGAAAGAAATCCATCATTAATTTCTTTGTCATCAATTTAGCTGTCACCGACTTTCAGTTTGTGTTGACCTTGCCTTTCTGGGCTGTAGATACAGCGCTGGATTTCAGCTGGCCGTTTGGTAACGCCATGTGCAAGATCATTTTATCAGTCACTGTGATGAACATGTACGCCAGCGTCTTTTTCCTCACCGCGATGAGCATTACGCGCTACTGGTCTGTCGCATCTGCTTTAAAGATCCCTTCTCGAAAGAAGTCCGTGTCTGTGACGTGGGTCTGTGCTGTATTGTGGATCTTGGCGACTGTGGCAACAGCTCCAACTTCCATTTTCTCCACCGTGACAGTTGTGGCAGGTGAAAAACTCTGTCTCCTCAAGTTCCCAGATGGCCAGGATTGGCTCGCTCTGTATCACCTTCAGAAACTTGTCATTGCGTTTATCTTGCCCATGTTCATTCTCTCAGTATGTTATCTATTACTGCTGAGGTTTATCCGAAAGAGGGGCATTAATACCCGTCAAAGAAGACGATCGAAAGTAGCAAAGTCTGTAACGGTGGTGGTCCTCTCTTTTTTTATTTGCTGGATGCCAAACCATGCGATCACCCTCTGGGGCGTGCTGGTGAAATTGAACGCGGTGCACTGGGACAAAACATACTACATGGTGCATACTTATGTTTTCCCCGTGACTGTTTGTCTTGCTCATACTAATAGTTGTTTAAACCCAGTTTTGTATTGTCTAATGCGACGGGAGTTTAGGAAAATGTTACATAGTTTCTTTTGGCGCATCGCCTCGCCTGTTATTTCGAAGGCTGGAAAACTACATGGATACAGTCGAGGCAGCAATCAAAACCTGGATGACGCACAGACTGGAATTCATTTAAACGTGATTGACGCACAACGCTCCCAACAATCCAGACAAACGACCTTATACTGACAATATTCACAGGACTTCAGACGGATTCTGTCAACTAATTAAACAGTGGACTTATTTTTTTCCCCTGATAAACCAAAGGGTTACTATGATTTGAGAACGATATTGAGAACCACGAATGACTGTAGTTGTTGTTTGTGACTTGAACAGTTTTAAAGGTGTTTTATTTGTTGGTTGGCCCATATACTTACTGAATATATATAGTACATGTTAGACCTAATGGCTAAAAAAAAAAAGAAAAGAGAAAAGAAAAAGAAGATATATTTAAATGATGCTTGCAAAACTGTATTTCTAGTGCTTGTCAAACGATTAATCGCGATTAATCGCATCCAAAATAAAAGTTTTTGTTTACATAATATATGTGAGTGTACTGTGTATATTTATTATGTATATATAAATACACACTCATACAGTAAATATTTTGAAAATATTTACATGTATATATTTATAGTTATATAATTTATATTATATATAAATATATACAAATATAACAGATTTTTCTTAAATATATACGTGCATGTGTGTGTATTTATATATACATAATAAAGTACACACATATGTAAACAAAAACTTTTATTTTGGATGCGATTAATCACGATTAATCGTTTGACAGCACTAATTTACACTGTACATGACTTATAGTAATTTATTGATATGAATTGTATAATATTAGATTTATTTCAGTATAATTCATAAAGGGATACTCCACCTAAAATTAAAATTGTTTTGTGAGTGTCAAATATAAAATGTATACATAATGGATAAAAATATTTTTCCCATGCAAAAGAATCATGCAAATCTCTGGGCTGAAGATAAATTATTAAATTAAGCTTATTTGATCAAATGACAGCTGTGAAATAAATTGTGTGAGATGCTTCGGGCTAAGCTGTGTCGGTGGTTCAACTAATAGTGACAGAAAGCTTTTCATCCAAGTGCAGGAAATACTATAGCAGTATACATTAATTTCATTGATTATTTAATTTTATTATCATGAGGGAGCACTGGCGAAGAAAAGTCCAAAAATAATTTCAAAGGATTTTCCCTATATATCTTGAGCTACAAGAACACTATAGAGTTATGGTCAGAAGGTGGTTGTATACTTCAGAGAGGTCGTGTGCCAGCAAGCAATTCCCATATGTATGATAACAAAACTTGTTTCGCAAACATTTGCAGAGATATCCGTGTAAAACACTCTTCAAATGATTGTCTCTGTTGATAAGCACACATGCAAATTCAACCATTAGCAATATTCTGCTATTTGGTCACTAAGAGAATTCTTTGCCTCTAATGGAACATCTGCACAGCTATCAGTAGCATTGCCATTTGGTTTCCTGATACACCATCAGCTATGCATTAGCCATGGAACCCATTTATGGTTGGAAGTTGGATATACTGTGCAAAGGTGGATTGGCTGAGATGCGTTGTGTGAACAAATATTAATAAATGTGAAAACAGCAATGACATTACATGCCCAAAGTTTTGCAGGTTTTAAATATTTTTGTCCAGACTTTCAGAATCAACCATTTCTGAAGGTCACTGTATATGATGAAGACAAAGTGTTTCACAGATATACATCACCAGTGTTTATAAACTTGCATAATTATTTGTTTCATACATGGCCTAGTTGCTTGAGAGGCGTTTTCCCCCCAAATTCAGAAACGTAGATTTCAAAATTATTTACATGATACTTACATTGGCCATTCTATATTGTGAATATAGTCAGAAAGAAATGGTATGACACACACTGGGATTTAAAGGACAATTTAGAGGGGAAAAAATATTTAATAAATTATAATTAATTTACTGCCTTAGAGTGAATAATAAGTAATCATGTAATCCACGTAATCCAGATTACACGTAATCAGTTTCTATTTAGCACTGCTTGCCGTCTCTTCTTTGAACCCTGCAGATATGATCACATTTACCTAATATATCTACAATTAAAACACATTTTTACCTATGAAATTTAACTTGAATAATTCTGGTTTTATGTTAACTCAAAGTCTCCCACCCTATATAGCTTTAAAATGAGTCGCTAGGATTCACCACTATGGGTCACATATACACCATAAACAATAAAATGACTTCCTTGAAATGAACATCACATGGACCCTTTGTTAACGGACATGTGGAAGGGCCCTTCAGTTAGACACCTTGTGCAAGTGCATAAATGAAATATACAGCTGAATGTGCCAAAGCTTTCTTTACTGAAATAAAGACAAGACAGAGGTGATTGTTTTGGCAACACAGAAGAAATATAAAAGGTAAATGCACCTTGGTTAAGTCAAGAATCTTGATATCATTCTGGAATCTGATTTTAGCTGATCTGAGTCACGTAACGGCAATAACTAAAAATCAGTCTATACTACCATCTGAAAAACATAGCACAAATTAG